CTAGGTAGAAAATATTTGTGGAAATAAATTTGTGTGTCTGTTATTAACGTTCGACTAACACCATTTGGAATTAAAGAATGTAGGATTTACTGGCCAGCTTTGTCACTATAAGCTGTAACTTTGAGCAACTGATTTTAACTTTGGCTTTTTTATCTATAAAAAGGCTGTCTCTTTTAACTTTGGCTTTTTTATCTATAAAATGACTGTCGCTTTTATCTATAAAATGGCTGTCCTCACAGTTTGGTGTGTGGATAGGGAAAGCATATGTATACAACCCCGATTTAACTCAGATTTTGGTGCTAATGGTACAGGAGGCTTGGTTCTTTTGTGATAGTTTGAAACAGCTTAGGAATGGCACTGAACCACAGCGATGTGTTTTGTTATAATGGAGGTGGTGGAGGTGGTTGTGGTTTCAATGGCTGAGTCTGCAGATAAGGGGCCAGAGAACACAAGGTCACCAAAATTTATCTGCCCAAGATCTAGAAGGAGAAAGCTTGTCTGAAGTTGCAAGCCTGAGACCACTTGCAGCTATAGCCAAGTCGGGTCAGGTCCATGCTCCCAAAAGTGGATCTTTTGGTTGTTTACAGAAACACTTGCCTGAAGTGAGTTCACCGTCTTCAGCTGCCAGGATTAATGCCCCCGTGGAGCAGGTCTGAGCTGTTTTTAGGAGCATGGCTCGGGCAAGCTGTTGAGAAATGTGGCCGAGTGAGCACAGGATCTCGACATGGGTAATTAGGGGCTGATGGTCCAGTTTGCAGAACTCTCCAAAATTACAGAGGAGGCTTGTGTTGGGTCTGGGCTTGTCCTGCTCTGTCATCATCATTTCCTGTCTCTCTGGTAAAGGGCTGGAGGAGATGCTTGCCAAGATGAGCACATGGAGATACCAACTTACCCTAGTAGCTGCCAGATCAGAAACAGAAACTCAGTTGCCTGAGATTGCATCTAGCCTATTTCCCAGCCAACACTTCGACAGAGTAAATAAAGCCTCACCATTTATTCATTTGACTATGAAAATACTATTTTAGGTCTTCTATTGGATCCATACAGTATGCATCAACACAAAACTTTTTGCCATGTGCTCTGGTGTGTGTGGGCTTTCCTGGTGGCTCAGATGGTAAAGAATCTGCCTGCAGTGCAGGAGACCTGGGTTTGATCCCTGGATCAGGAAGACCCCCTGGAGAAAGGCATGGCTACTCACTCCAGTATTTTTGCCTGGAGAATTCCATGGACAGAGGAGCCTGGCGGGCTACAGTCCATGGGATCCCAAAGAGTTTGGACATGACCGAGCAAATAACACTTTCTGGTTTGTATACAGTCTGACCACAGACTTCTTTTGGAAGCTCCTAGTTTAGTGTCTTTCAGTTTACAAAACATCCATGTGGATATTCCTGAAGAACCATGTGTTAGAGGTATATATGTCAGTTTCATTCATGGTGAGCTCCCAACACTTGGAAATGTCACTTGGACTACGAGGAGATCCAACCTGTCAATCCTAAAGGAAATCAGTCCTGAATATTCATTGGAAGGACTGATGCTGAAGCTGAAACTCCAATACTTTGGTTACCTGATGCAAAGAACTGACTCATTGGAAAAGACCCTAACACTGGGAAAGATTGAAGGTGGGAGAAGGGGATGACAGAGGATGAGATGGTTGGATGGCATCCCCAGCACAATGGACATGTGTTTGAGTAGGCTCCAGGAGTTGGTGATGGACAGGGAAGCCTGGTGTGCTGCAGTCCATGGGGTCACAAAGAGTCAGACACAACTGAGCGACTGAACTGAACATTGAAAGTGAATGTGTGAGTCGTTCAGTCATGTCCAACTCTTTGCAACCTCATGGACTGTAGCCTGCCAGGCTCTTCTGTCCATGGAATTCTCCAGGCAAGAATACTGGAGTGGGTAGCCATGCCTTCTCCAGGGACAAGAAAGCATTCACTAGATATTTTTAAATGGATGCTACCATAACTTGGAAAAAGGGTTACTTTGATGTCCTAGTGAGATAATCAGCAACTCATCTGAACGTGGAACAACTGAGCAAAATCCCCAGTGCTTCTTGCACAAGGATGGGTTGCATAACAACAGTCTGACCATGTAGGTTATCAAGAAATGAATCAAATGTGTCAGCTTAACAAAGACACCTTGGTGAGTTATCTTGGGAATTCATCTTCTCTGTGTCTAAGGAAACAGCCCATTTTGACAGAAGAGTCACAATTCATGGTTTCATGATATAATTGACATAATTGCAGCACTGCATCTAAGGCTTTCTTACTTTGGGAGAGATCTTACCATTCTCTAGTACACAGTGTATATTTTTAGAAAAGGGTGTAAACAACGAAGAACACTCATCGTAATTATACAAGTGTGTCAGTGTCATTCTTTTTAGAGGACAACTTCCTCATTGTAAGTAAGTTATTGTCAAATATATTTATATTGTAGAAGCCTAATTCTGAGAGGCTGCTCCTTTCAATGGAAAAACAAGAAAAGCACCAATGGAGACGAATGATTTATAGAGAAACTGAAAAAGTGGAACATATTAGGAATTAAAACAAGACAGAGGAGCCTGAGTTTTCGGTTTCTATGATGTCAATAACCACTGCTTTGCAGTTAGAGGTGGAGACGCTCCACCTGCCTGACATACTTTCTGGCACAGCCCAGGCTGAGAGGGGGAGAGTGAGGTATGTGAGCAGGGGCCCCAGATAAAAACTATGAAGAAGAGCTGTCTTCATTTCGAAACAAAGCCATGTGTAGGTCATAGAAGATCTACTGCTGAAGGCATGGACAGAAAACCCAGGCAACTTGTCTATGGAAATGCCAACCCAAGTGGCTGAATCTTAAGAAAGAGAACTTTAGGCTAAATCAACCTCTTTGGCATATAAATATGAATCATTTTTGCTTAGCAATGCCTTTTTTTTTCCCAAGCATGAGTTGCAGAGTCAAAAAACCGTTGTTCTCATCTGAGTTTCACCAGTGCTGCGTGTTGGGCAAGTAATAGCTCTCCCAGGCCTTCAGCTCTGCCTCTCCAAAGCAGAGAAAACAGTTCCTCTTCTCACGCCTGGAGGGGCCTTAACGCAGGGTCTGGTATACAGGAAGCCACCAGTCAGGGGCAGCTACTCTCTTTCACCTTTTTAAGAAGGGGGTGTGGAAATTGTTTCCCATTTCTTTTTATATTTTCCTTTGGTATTTTAATCAATTTTTTTTTTAAAATATTGAGCTCTACCCAGAGTGCTAGGATGGAGTAAGAAAAGGTGATGCTGTTGTTGCTTGCATTTGAGAGAGAGTGGCAAATGCAGGGAGTCCTGGCACAAAAGCTGCATTTCCACGCGGTGCATGAAAGGCAGAGACACCCAGGAAAGGAGCTAGGGAACCTGAGACAGTTCGTCCCCTCTCTCTTAACTGGTCTGCACTCGGTCTTCTTTTCTTGTCTGGCCCTGGACTGTGTGTTTTGTTCATTCATGTGCTTAGTTACTCATTCCATTCAGCACAAGTGTCAGGCATTGTACTCACTGTGGGGGAGGGGACAGACAAGGGCCAGGAGCCCAGGCAAGCTCTTTCAAATCCCAAGATCCAGGAGGGAAATAGATAAGGAACAGACAAGGAAACTGATAAATGTAATTCTGGGTGATGAAAAGAAAGGGTTTAAGGAAATATTCCCAGGCAACTCCGTTTCTGATAAAAGACCACTAGCTTTGGTGCCCACACACACGTAGATAATGGTAAAATATTTGACTGATGTTATGTATTAGGATAGTCATTGTTTTTCAAAGAAGCCAATAACAATAAGTACAGGAGGGTTTATTTTATTTTATTAGCAAAGATAGTTTTGCATATGCCAAAAACCATTTTCATTTCTGAAAGAGAGGCAGATTCTCTGGTCATTCTATGCTGAAATCAGATTTCTCTTCTATTTCAAGTTTTACTATAGAATTCAATTACTGCCACAGATCAGAACACCTATCCTCTAAGAAAGTCAAGAAAGCTAGTTCTAACCATAGTGCATGAAATTCTTGGATTACATGGGTGCTCAGTCATATCCCCATAAACTATAGCCTGCCAGGCTCCTCTGTCCATGGGATTTCCCAGGCAAGGATACTGGAGTGGGTTGCCATTTCCTCCTCCAGGAGATCTTCCCGACCCAGGGATTGACTCCACCAAGAGGGCTCGAACCCGTGTCTCCTATGCCTCCTGCGTTGGTAGGCACAGGCAGACTCCTCACCACTGAGCCACCTGGGAAGTCCCCTCACCATGGTAAACTAATTAACCAAGTAATCAGTTAAAGTCATACAAATAGATGCATTTATTCTTACATCTCACTTTTCTTCTATCTTCTGCTTCTCGAGGTCATCTTGATGCCCAGGTCTCTGTTTATGTCAATTCCTACATCTTCTGGCCTGGCTCCAAACCACAGTGATTTTGAAGCCACAAGAGCACTGTTACAGAGTCAGCCCAAAGAAGAGCAAAGTGGACTTTTGTAAATACCAGAGCCACCAAATGAAACCAAGAGATGAAGCCAAACACAAATGGAAGCAGCTTATGGTGTTGGAGACATGGCCTAAGGCAGGAATCGGCAAACCTCAGGGAACTAGACACAGACTTCATCTTATAAAAAAGGAATACTGGGGAGGACTTTCCTGGCAGTCCAATGGTTAAGATTTCACCTTCAATGCAGGGAGCGTATGTTAAATCCCTGGTTGGGGCCCTACGAGCCCATATGCCTCACAGCCAAAAAACCAAAACACAAAACAGAAGCAATATTGTAACAAATTCAATAAAGACTTTAAAAATGGTCCACATCAAAACACAAAACAAAAAGCAAAACCTTTCAGGACTTCTCTGGTGGCACAGTGGATAAGAATCCGCCTCAGAGCAATTAAGCCTGTTTACCACAACCACTGAAGCCCATACACTCCAGGGCCCTGGAGCCACAACTGAGCCCATATGTTGCAACCACTGAAACCCTTAAGACTTGGAGTTTATGTTTCACAGCAAGAGAAGCCACTGCAATGAAAAGCATGTGCGTCACAGCAAAGAGCAGCCCCCACTTACCGCAACTAGAGAAAGCCCGTGCAAGGCAACAAAGACCCAGTGGAGCCCCAAATCAATCAATCAATCAATACAATTATAAAAAGGAATCTTTTAAAAAAAATAAAGGGAATACTGGTATAGGCCTTCTCAAATGGGAAAACCAAAGAGATCTTCTCTGTTACATTTATATGACAGCCCTCAAGGACAGGAAAGATGGATCAGAGGGTTCTGCACAGACCCTCACTTTTCTCGTGAACTTACACGTCTGGTATAGCACCCTGATGGGATGAATTAAGTTATTGTTCCCCACATTGGCTCTCTTCCCTGGAGAGTGATGATACATCGCAGCCCATTTCCAGGTGACTTGCAGTGCCTCTCTATAAGGAGAGTACAGTTCTCCATCATGTTACCAGATCTGGCCATATAACTTATTTGAGCCAATGAAAGGCAAGCGGAGGTGACAGTGGCCCAGTTCCAAGAAAACACTTTGAAGAAGCACATTTTTCAGCCAATTCATTTTTCCTCTCTGTCACGAAAATAGCATGTTCCAGCTAACCACCGTTCTTTTGCTGGTTCCTGGAAAGAAGAAACACTTGGAGGGGAATTGTAACCACAGATGCACAAGCACCACCATGTAATGAGTGGGAAATGAGAATGTGCTATTGTGAGCCCCTGGGACGTGGAGACCGCATGTTACTGCAGTTAAACTGACTAGTATTATCTGATAGCATAAAGTAGTAGCACAACTCCATTGGGATAAGCATCTCATCTCTTAGAGCATACCATCCCTTAAGGAGCTTGGATTTTATTCTAAAGATGAGCCAAAGGAGATTAGATAGGATTTGTTCAAGCCTTATGTTGTCATCTATAGTCTGAAAGTACCAGGGATCAAAGAACAATTGTTGTACCATCCTAGAAGAGCTGGGATGTTGAGGTAAGCCATAGTTATCCTGACAAGTCACAATGAGCTCTTCCACAATTCTGGGCGCGAACATGAAATACATCAACCTTGAAGGGGTGAGGCACAGCATAGGTTTATATTTGCCCCACTACGACCCATTTCTTAGGATCCACAGCAAATCAATTTGTCCTCCATGCCTGGAGTCTAGATGGGCTTCTGAGGTGGTGCCGTGGTAAAGTATCTGCCTGCCAGCGCAGAAGACGCAGAAGACCCAGGTTCGATCCCTGATTAGGGAAGATTCCCTAGAAGAGGAAATGGCAACCCACTCCAGTATTATTGCCTGGAGAATCACATGAGCAGAGGAGCCCAGTGGGCTACAGTCTATCAGGTTACAAAGAGTCAGACATGACTGAATGACTGAGCGCACACACACACACACACACACACAGAATAAACAGACATGGTCGGGGTGATCAGAAGGTCACTAAACTATGTCTTTGGGCTCCCTGTTCTGTACCTGCCTTGATGACCCCTCCTCTTCATTTTCATTTGCCTGTTCATGGGCTATTTGACAACTCTGCTGCTAAGCCAGTGGCCTTGTGGTGCAATTCCAGATACTTTAAAACTCAAAGTTGGCATGTTTTCCAAATGAATTGAAAGCATTTAAAAATATCTAGAGAAGAAGCCAAGGGCAACTGAAGTCCTAACCACTTGAACAGGAACTGACAGACCCAGGTCCTGCCAGGACCAGCAGGGAGGGGAGAAGAGCTGTGATTCAGAACAAGAGTTGGGTGGCAGAGACGCAGGGCTAGGCAGAGGGGGTTTGTTCCTAGAACACTGCTGCCTAATCCAGGAAGGACAGACAGGGCTGGGAAGCCAACTCAAGCACAGCTACGCCCCAATCCTTGGCAAGCTCAACTTGGTGGAGGGGCGCAGGGCTCCTGAGAGCAGCCCGTGAGGAGTTGACTAGGGGAATCAGAGATGAGGTCTACTGTCCCTGGAGTGATCCTTCAGATGAGTGGCTAAGACGATTTATTCTTCAGCTACACCCATTTGAGCGGATGACTCAGCCTCAGGGACATAAAAGTCCGGAAAGGATGAGCAGAAGGAACTCATGGGAGGCAGAGCTCAACAAGAGTGAAACAAGGATTTTCCGGGGATGTCCTATCACGAAGTGGCCACAGCTGGCAAGCATGGAGGAGCCTGCTTCCTCCAAGGCCAGCCCCCTTCTGTGACCGATGAGGAAACTGAGCCCAAGGAGGTGGGATGACCCACCCGACACCATAGCCAGCGAGTGCATGGGCCAAATTTCCCATCTTCTGGTGAAAACTCTTTCTTAGTCCCCACACTGGCCTGTCCACAATAAATAGAAATACTTTGCCAGAACCCCTGGTGTCCAGGTCAGGTCAGCAGAAAGAAGCTGTGACCACAACAGGAAGGGCTTATGAACCTTGTTGCAGCTGACAAGTGATCAGACCAAGATGATGACCTTTCCGCTCTAAATTTCCAAAAAGGTATGAAATACCGTTGTATAGACTCACAGAAAACAAGCTTATGTTTGCCAGGGGAAAGGGTGGGCGGAAGGGATAGTTAGGGAGTTTGGGATCGACATGGACACTCCACTATGTTTAAAACGGATAACCAACATGGACCTACTGTCTAGCACAGGGAGCTCTGCTCAATGTTATGTGGCAGCCTGGATGCGAGGGGTGTTGGGGGAGAATGGATACGCGTATATGTATGGCTGAGTCCCTTCTCTCTACCTGTAACTATCACAACGTTGTTAATCGGCTATACTCCAATATAAAATAAAAAGCTGAAAAAAAGATACTGCTATATAATTATTATCTGCAGGTGGAGGGGGAAAAAAATAAAAATCAACCCATGTAATGCCCAAACTATTGAAACTTCATATTTGAGAACTCTGCAAGTCAGCCATATTGTCGAGGGTAAGGGGCCTCCTTAATGAGAATTCCATAAGGCACATGGAAGACACATTACACTCCACTGGGGGCTGGGGGTAGGGAAGGCAGGTGGGTGGAGTGGAAAGGGCCCAGAAGAGGAAGGAAGATGAGGGAAGTGCTCACCAAAAACACTCACTGACAAATAATGAAAACAAAGAACTTGGTTGGGGTGGGTGCAGTTAAATTAGGTTTTCATTTGAGAAACAGATCAAAGCACTCATTTAAAACCCTTGTAGAGCAATAAGCGAGTTCCTCTGAAACACTGGATTGACCCAAAGCTCTTAGAAATATGCTGGAATGATGCAAGTTTCTGTAGGTTTCCCTCACTCTTGCCAGTCACCATACTTTCATTTCCTCCCTAATCAGATTCAAATACCCATTCAGCAAAATTAATGCACGAGATCCTAAGCAGAAATCTTCAGCTCTCAAAAGGGCAGCTTAACCTCATTCTACAATCACTGTCAGGCTCCAGCGGAAGATGCTCTTCTTTTTATCACTTGCCCGCGCTTCGTGGTCGCTCAGTCACTAAGTGGTGTCTGACTCTGCAACCCCATGGACTGCAGTATGCCAGGCTTTCCTGTCCATCACCAACTCCCGGAGCTTGCTCCAACTCATGTCCATGGAGCCAGTGATGCTGTCTAACCATCTCATCTTGCATTCAGATGTCACCAAATGATGAAGTTCACAGGAGGAAATATTTCTCTGGTATTTGCTAGATTCGTTTACTCATGTCTTCGGACCGCCTCTCACAGTGCCTATTTTTGCTATGTGGGACAGACTGTGACCAGAGTCTCTCTTTGCATAAACCGCACAGTAACCATAACCTCAGAATAGCTTTCAGGGCTTACTGAGCTGTGACAAAACTCGAACAGTGGGAGCTAAAGGGTTTCAAAGAATCACTGAGGCATCTGAGCCTTCTGAAAGTGATTCTATCACCAGATTATCTAATAGGGGCCACAAGCTGCTTGAAAGTTAAAATTGAGAATGAGAAAATAGATAGGCAACGTGATGCCGTATAACTTGGGCTTTTCCTCTGCAAAGAAAGTCAAAGCAGACACAAGAGGGCACTTGAGCCCATACTCATTTTGGAAGCAAATTCCTTGTAACTCCTTCCACTCTCTTGGTCTCCTCACCTCAGGTCCCCACCTGAGTCTATGAACCTATTCCTTAAAGGTGCTAAAACCCAGCTACAAAATGGAAAATATGAAGTGGGTTGATTTTAAGTTTCACATAATAAGGCATTAATTATCAGAGCAATATTGATGCTAAGATTGATACTAGCATGGAAATTTAGTCTTGGTCCACAGCAGTAACTTTATTGCCCATTCTGATCATAAGGCACAATGGGGTCACAGAGATAGCATGGCTCACCCTTAATTCGATGGCCTTTTCTAGTTTCAAAATCACCCTCCCCAAGAAGAGTGAGCAAGGCTCATGTCAGAGAAACCAAACTGGCCAGTTGGAGTTTCATTTCCCTCCATTCAAGAAGCCATGATGAAAAAACCACAAAAGTAACTGCTTTAAAAATCACCTAGATTCCCCAAGCTATTCTACATTACCTCATGGGGAATAGCAAAATATACATTCACTTGTTTACAAAAACAAAAACTTTAACAAATACTAAAGTATAGATTCTATAGGCAATATTATCTGATCTTAATTAATAAAATTATAAGTAAATAATAAAAAGATGTGGTGCTAGTGGTAAAGAATTCGCCTGACAGTGCAGGAGATGCAAGAGACCCAGGTTCAATCCCTGGGTTGGGAAGATCCCCTGAAGAAGGGAATGGCTACCCACTCCAGTATTCTTGCCTGGAAAATTCCATGGACAGAGGAGCCTCATGGGGCCACAGATGAGTGAGCACACAGTAAAAAGATGACAGAAAACATCTTAATTATCTGGGCATTAAGAAATAGCTTCCAAGCTGGAAATAGAACTGCCATATGACCCAGCAATCCCACTTCTGGGCATACACACCGAGGAAACCAGATCTGAAAGAGACACGTGTACCCCAATGTTCATCGCAGCACTGTTTATAATAGCCAGGACATGGAAGCAACCTAGATGCCCATCAGCAGACGAATGGATGAGGAAGCTGTGGTACATATACACCATGGAATATTACTCAGCCATTAAAAAGAATTCATTTGAATCAGTTCTAATGAGATGGATGAAACTGGAGCCCATTATACAGAGTGAAGTAAGCCAGAAAGATAAAGACAATTACAGTATACTAACACATATATATGGAATTTAGAAAGATGGTAACGATAACCCTATGTGCAAAACAGAAAAAGAGACTCCTATGTATAGAACAGACTTGTGGACTCTGGGAGAAGGCGAGGGTGGGATGTTTCAAGAGAACAGCATCGAAACACGTATATTATCTAGGGTGAAACAGTTCACCAGCCCAGGTTGGGTGCA